GGGTATAATTTTGCAGTTACACAGAAGTAATTCTGTTGCATGAGCAGCAAGCCAAATGCAATAGCTTGTTGGGTAACAGAGGCACTGGTTTCAAAGTTCAAAATAAGGGTTATGTATTACTGGTACTTTAATACGGCATAAATCAGCATTGCCATCCAAAAGTCAGCCCTGAATTTTTGTGCATTTTAGTCCTAAGGTGGTAGTGTGCGACACTGGGATGTACTGATCTAACACCTTACTGATACTGCAACAGCAGGGTCACTAATCCAGCAGATTCTAGTGTCTGGGGGTAGAACAGTAGGATGGAGAGTGAGAAGCTTGATGGTAAGAAGAAAAAGTAATTTTCATTTCACTTGTCTGATACATATTAGGGCAGGAGGTGATTTTTGGCAGTCTCAAGTTGTAACTGATGCTATCATCTAATCAGTGAATTATCACTTGAGATGTGGATTGAATTCAAAATTCTCTGAAATACTCTAATCAAGAAACAAATTTAGAAGAGCACTGCACTGTAACTGCATTTAAATTTAGCTGCTCATTTTGCCTTCATGATTTACTGAATAATACCTTTTTAAGATACATATTGAAAACATAAGATACATATTGAAAACACATTCCATACCAAACCAGTAATTTAAGTAATTTACGTTGGCATTCATAACTAACTCTGTACTCAATTTTAACAGCAAGGTCGTTAACCAGTAACCATTTTCTTGTTAACAGTTTTTGTGAAGAACTGCTTCAAGATTAACTTAACCAGCTTACTCAATAGTTCTCAAACCAGAGGGCACATTCAGAGAGCTCAGAAAGATCCCCACAATCACAAGGAAGTCTGAGAACAGACAGCACAGGGCTGAGGGCTGTGTCCCGGCCACAGCGTACTCTCTCTGCCCCAGGAGACTTTACTTTGACCTCCTCTCCAGGGTACTTTCAGGTCCCAGCCTCGACTCAGGGATTACTAGGTGTCTTAACTAGGTAAGCTCTCAGGAACTAGGTCACAGTGCATGTAAGGATGAGCTCAGACCACACTGGTTGTGTTGGCACAGGACAGCAGGTCTAACTGTGTGCTTCGCCAGGTGGTTTGGGAACTGGAGTGGAGGAGTGAAAATATCTTGTGGACTGAAGTCTTGTGCAAGTATGTAAAACGTTAAACCATCAATATTTTTAGCAATTACAGCAGTGACATAGTGAAGTGGCATTTGCAACACATAAGAGGTTTCTCTACTTCTTTATTCCAAATAAATTTGTTAAAATTAGACATATGAATACCTGTAAATGTACTTTAGTTGTTTTAAGGGTTTTAATGGTATTTTTGAGACTAAAATTTTTAGTAAGAAAAGTTAGGAAACTTGGCCACAACACAATGTGGTTTGAAAACAGAATTTTAGACTTAAATGCGTATCTTCAGATTATGTGAAGGCAACAGACAGCTGGTTGCTTTAAAGCAAGGTTGCTGAAGACAAACATTTGGATTATGACATGAATTAATTTTTACAAAGAGGTATTTCTGTAGCACCAGTAACTAGGGCATGATGAGATAGATGACTAGCTGTGTGGACAGGGGGGAACTCGTGGATGTTGTATATTTTGACTTTACCAAGGACTTTGATATAGTCTCCTATAGCACCTTTATAGCCAAAGTGATGAGGTACAGATTGAATGACTGGGAAATAAGGTTGGTGGAAAATTGGCTGGGCCATCAGGCTGAAAGGGAGGTGATAAGCAGCATGACTGCTTGACTCTGAGATCAATACCTGAGCCAGTACCCTTAATTCTTTATGAACAGCCTTGAAGACTGAGCACACTCTTGGCAAGTTTGACAATGATGGTGAATTGAGGGGAGCAGTCACCATGCAGGAGGGCTGGGCTGCCATTCAGAGCAGGGTGTACAGCCTGGAGAAACAGGCTGCTGAAAGGAACCTAATGAAATTCAACAAAAAGCAAATACAAAGCCTGGCATTTGGGATGGGAAAAGCCCAGGCATCAGTACAGGCTGGGGTGGAAACACAACTTCATAGACACAGGGCACCCTAGTGAACAAACTGACCACAAGCCAGCAATGCCTTTGGCCTCCTGAGCTGCAAGAGTGTAACCAGGAGGCTGAGGGAGGTGATTCTCTCCCTCCCTTCAGCACTTGGGGAACCACATGCTGGAGTGCTCAGCTTTGGGCTCCCCAACAAATGCTAGGGCTGCCAAGCTGGTCAGGGGCTGCCACACGTGGCCTGTGTTCAGCCTGCACAAAAGAAGGCATGAGGAGATCTTAGTGCTGTCAACAGCTATGCAAGAGGAGGGTTTACAGAAGATGGAGAAGCCAGACTCTTCTCCAGTGTGCACTATGGAAGGACAAGCAGCACTGCATCCAAGTGCTTATGAAAAGTTTTGGCCCAGTGTAAGGGAGAAATATTTACCTTTAAGAGTCAAACCTTGCAAAGGTTGCCCAGGCAGGCTGTAAAATCTCCATCCTTGGAGACAATCAAAACTGGCACAGAGTACTCTGCCCAACTGGACCTGATTTGAGGAGGAGGGTGGTCTACAGATCTCTGTCGTCCAGGACATCTGGAGGTCTCTTTGAACCTTCACCATTCTATGGTGATCTGAATCACTGAGCTGGTCAGCATGTTTTGGTAGAAGGTAGTTTTACCAATTCTTTTCATAGGATAACAGATTTAGCTTGTCAAGGAGTATTAAGAAATAGGCTATCCCAAAGTGTTTTTAAATCAGCATTAAACAAACCAACCAACGCATCCTTGAAATCTAATTCAAATGCAGGGGTTTAGAACAGTGGTTTATACCTACAGAATTATGAAGATGCCAGAGACAGTAGTTGCTTAGAATGACGTAGAGGTCATTAAAAGTAATCTTCTCAAGACAAGATTTGAGACCAATATTGCAGCAGGCAGTGCATTAGGAAATCAGGTAGCAGTTCACTCAGTAAACAGCATTAGTGAGACGACTTTGTACATCAAAAGACATTCAGTGGAGAAAAAAAACAACAAGCTGGGAATAGAAAACAAACCTGAGGTATGAGGCTTAGGGAACTCGATGTGTATAGTGTCTAAAAAGGAGAACAGATAAGGCAGTAAGTGTGTGAAGGCTGTTGTATATGGTCGAGGAACTGGGGAGAAGCAGATGGATTTGCTGCCCAGGGCGCAAGTAGTGACAGCTAAAGCAGGGTAAGTTCCACAGCATAGTATTTGCAGCAGTGAGAATTAACTAAACTTTTGAATAATGTGAAAGGGAAGATCATGGATGTGTCACATTAAAAACTGTAAAATGGGGCAGATATTATTTAAAAATTAGCTTTAATCTATTTTGAGACAAATTTGAAAGACTAAGTACATGTGAAGAGAACAGCAGCGAGTTGAACAGAACAACAATGCTTGTCTGATACCAATAGCATTTAAATCTTTTTTTAATCTCAGTACAGACAACTTGGTCTCAAAATGGGAGGGAGGGGGAAGATACAAATACATATATCCCTGTTATAAATGCAGTTCATAACAACAAAAATGCTGTTTCTAGTGTGAAGTCTTTAGTAGCCTTAACCTGATTACACTTGCTGGCAAGTGACAGATTATTGTAGTGTACTTTCGATGGACCTTTTTAGTTTGCAATATTTTAAGCTCTAACTGATGAGCTTGTTTCTGTTGTAGACATATTCCAATACTGCTTTTTTATTGCTTCAGAAGAAGTCCTAGTCTTTCTACTCACTGATCCATACAGTAGCTTCACATCATAAAAAGGCCAAGCACAGATTAAGCAATTTTAATTTCATCTTTATTTCCATAAATCACAGTTACACTTCAAGTGGTTAGATCCTTTGTTTCACATTTCTCACCCTAAGTACACACCTACAGTAGCTACCACAAACTGTGCACCTATTAGTTGTTACTGTATTTTTTCAATCTGATGCAAATATAATTTGCTAACAACCATTTATAGTTATTTTCTCCATTTCCATGAAATGGAGATAAGTTATAAATTGATTATGTTGTTTGCTGCAGGTCCAGCCAATATTAGAACGTGTAGCAGCTTTAAAACTCAATAATGAACTGTTAAATAAGTAGCAGCGTAAAAGCATCTCAAGGGTTCTATGTTTGGAGTTATTTCACACTGCACTAGGAACAGGATGAAAAACCCACACAGTAGTGTCTGTTCTATTCCACACATGTCTTCATTAAAAGGGCTTCTCTTCATATTCTTTAAAGACATATCTTGTGTAACTATGAATTTAATGGAATAAAGATGCTGACTCTTAGGTTGAAGCAAATACACATTGTCTTCTGTTAGAAGGCCATGATATATACTCCAAATCTTTTTGGATTGGCTGAAAAGTACAGAATGCATAGAAGTTCCTAGTGTCCTCTATAGAATGTTTTTACAGAAAAATAATTTAATTTATGAAAAAACATACTTATCCTCTCTTCATAAAAATCTAACTTTCAAAGAATCTTTGTATATTCTTTATGGAGTCAACTGGAGAATACATTTTTCTAGAGTTGTAAATACCCTCTTTTAGAAGAAATGCTCAATATCTTTGGTTTGCTTAAATGTGGATGGAAAAGAAAAAAAAAAATTAAAGGGAATAACTACCTAGTTACCTGAGGTTCATCTTCCATTTCTTCTAACGTGAACTTTGGATAAGATTAGCTGTTTGATAGCTGAAAAGGGAAATTCTCTACAAAACAATGAAACATAAAGCTTATTTTAGTGCATATTAAATATGACAAGGCTGTTTTAGTACAGCTAACTCTTAAGGATATTTAAAAAACAGAACTAGTAGTCCTATTTGTTCCAGAATTAGTAATCCTATTTGTCCTGTACCACCACCTTCCTTACAAATATAAAGCATTACAAAAATATTCACAATAGTATTTCTATATTAATCAATTATTCCATATTATATTTTGAAAAAGTGCTTACAGAGGCAAGTTTATAAGCTGCAAACTCATATCCTTCCAGTTGTCTAAAGCCCTGATCCAGTTGTTTAAAACCCCTGTTCAATACAGCACAAGGAGTTAGGACAACTTTCATTTTTCCTTCTAGGAATGTCCTCTCTGCTTTTATATCTTCAAATTAAGTAACAGTTGCTCGAGAAGTACAGTGTGATTTCTGTTAAATTGCAGAGTAGCATCATAGTGACTTCTAAATAGGAAGTTTCAGCTCTAATGTAAGGCTTTAAGAAATATTTCAGTGCTTTCATTTTTTATCCTTCTTCTCACTGTCCAATACTTTATACTCATCTAACACAGCATGGCCAGTTTCCCTTGCTGTTCTCTTTACAACAGCTTTGATACCAATATTCTCAATGTTTAATGCTGTCACGCCAACATTGATTGCAGAATTCACAGCGTTGTCTGTGGCACGGCCGGCATCATCTCCATACCTTAAGAAAGACAGCAGTTTTGTTGATATGTATACTCAGTATTGTCCTCTTCACTAGAATTCTTTTGAATACAAAAAATTTAAGCATTACCAAGAACAAGTAATAAGCACACAGCCTAAATGTCTAAAGAATAATATAAGAAATTACCAAGGACTACTTCTCTATCAGACAGGTTATTCTTTAAAGATACCAATATGCTTCTGCCCTTTTTCCTCAAAAAACCTTCCTGTCTTTCTCCTTCCTTCCCTTCTAGTTTTGAAGAGAAGAGTAGAAGGCTTATCTATAGAACCATGAGAAGCTGGGGGTAGGGGAGTTGCGTGCAATAACCCCTAAGCACCTTTTCACCTAAGTTCTTAGGTAAAACTAGTACTCTCTATTCCCCCATTTGGGTCCTCACAGCTAGACCCTTGCAGCTGTAAACCTTCTCAGTCGGTACCATGGGTGGCAGCACCAAGGAGGAGGGAGAGAAAACGCTGTCCTGCCTTCTCACCCTTTACAGAAAAGGACCAGAATCACTTCAGGCATATTTTTCCTCAGTTGGTACCACCACTGCCAGAATAGTGCTTGGTTAGTACTTGTCCTGTGCCATCTTTGCCCGTGTCTACATGACATAATATGATAGTAGGTCTGGTGTCACAGCAACAACTGGCATGTTAGTTCCAAGTCCCGAAAGTAGACTCACTGAGTTAGTGTACCACTGTGCTCAAGCAAATAAACCCAGACAGTCTTAACAGGTCTCCTGGGTACAAAGAATTGCTGACTCCTCATAGGAGCTGTACTCCTATGTTGGAGGTAGCAAGGTCCCTACAAAAAAATTACATTGTGCAGTGAAAGCTTATCTGAAATAACCTGGAATCTAAACAGTGGGGAGGAGGAAGAAAAGTTACACAAAACCCCAAAAGGCTCAAAGCTATCTTGCAGATTTGCTGAGAAGTGACAAGAGATAAAATTTTTGGTCTTTCCACTGTGCTGTGGGTCCAGCTTCTTTATGCTTTAAGGGGATGGTCAGCAGTCTCATATTAATTACTAGCGTGAAGAAAAGTGCTCATCTACATCAGTAGAGAGAGCATACTGAAGAAGGACAGAGTGCAGCAAGAGCAGCAACTCCAACTGTTCTGCACAGCCAGACATTTCCCCAGAGAGCACTGTAATCACACAAACCAGGCCAAAGGGAAGTATTTCTGGCAGCATCAGAATCCCAGCAGTAAGCAGAGTTACTTCTTCACTCTGCTTTTTATGACCAGAGATTCTTTGAGGAACTCAAAATAAGGCTAGAGAGAAGCACAGAATATCAAAACAGAAAAAATCTATCACATTATCAGTCCAGCAGCCATGGCATAATGACTGGAACCAAGAATGACATGGAATAAAAAGAATTAGTACTTTTTGTTTTGTTTTTAATTTTCTGATAGAGTAACAGCCTTGAATCACCAATATCTGATTTGCAGATCACAGAATTAATTTCACAGCAAAAGTGCAGTATTTGTCAATATGATTAGTTATTTTCACCTCAGGAACATCATAAGCCAGTTTTATATAACATCAGTAAAATAAGTAACCCTATTTAAAGAAAGAGTAGCTTATCCAGTACGATTAGACTAAAAATTTCTTAATATTTGATAATTGATTTTTCAGTTTGTCTGTCTCAATTACATAATTTGTAAATCCCCACCCCCGCTTTTTTATTTTAAAGGAAAAAGTTGGGCTACATTTTCCCCCAATTCTAATTGACATACACATATGATAAGCATCTCTTTGTAATTCCATCCACAAAGGTACTTCAGCTAAGTATTAGCTGAGGTTTTGCTGATTTAGAGACACTGTGATGATGCTCCTTTAGTTTTGTTTCCATTAAGTGGAATTTAACTCATTTACTGAAGCATTTTGAATGTCAGAAATCTTTGTCACTGAAATAGAAACCAGCTTCCAAAAGAGCTATGATGTAGAATTTTAATACATTTATATATACAAGATTCTAAAGATCAAATATCAAATATTTTTAATTGCACTGTAATTAACTGCAACATTTAATTACTTATTGTTTTTCACTCTTAGTGGCTGTTGACTGCTTATCTCCATATTTCTTATTTTTATATCTAAAATAAAAACATTAATGTGAATTTACATGAAAAGAGTAGCAGTACAATACCTCCCGACATTCCTACTGAAAACAAACATTGGCAAGAAAGCACCGACTAGAACTTCACTACCTGGCCTCCTGTTCAAAATACATCCTAATACAGCCCTGAATGCCAATCCACTTACTACTGTACGCTGATGTTTACCTTGCTACCTTCTGCTGGTAGCCTGCACACACTTGCAGCAATCCTTTTTAACATCTCTTTTGCTACTTTTCACCAATTCCATTTAACCTACATGCTTTTGCTTACTCTTCACTTTCTGTTAGATCTATTGCATTTTTTGGAGGGATGCATTTCATATGTTTTGCACTTATTTCATTATATTTCCTTTTTCTCCACAGCATCTTCCAGTACATGCACTCTAACTTTGTTCTTTCCACCGTTTTAGTAACATCTCTTAATCCCAAAATTACCATCCTCTTCCCCTGTTTTTCTAAGAACACCTACATTTTGCAAGTCAAGGTTATCCTATTATTGCTATTTATGCCTTAGATTTCCTTAAACAATTTTCTTTTTTGTACCTCCTTGCTTTAGTCAGACCTGCAGATAGTTGAAGTTCTTCCATTTTTCTTCAAATTTAGCTAAGTTTACATAAATTCAGGATCAGAGCTCAGAGGTTTAAACCAGTAACTTTTTTCATAATGACATTGTAATGTAAAGCAAAGAAACAAATCTGAACATTATTTATAGCACAGCCTGAAGCTGTAATACTTCCAGAAGAGAGCTAAAAAAAAAAAAAACAAAACCAAGCTTGCCACAATCACTTGCTCATTTCATAATTTTACTTACAGGAGATGCTCATTACTGTGCACTCAGCACCTTATCATGTGCTGCATAATTAGAGCAAAGTATGTCAGTTCACTTCCTTGCACTTTCATAAGCTTTTCTCGCCAGTATTCAAACACAACAACAATTATATTGTAAAGATGCAACCAATAAAAACATAACTTACTTGTATTTCACAGTTTTTACAGTCTCAGTTGAAACACTTTTAGCAATGCACTTCGCTGCGCCTTCTAAACCTTGCCACACTGTGGAAAACCCTGTAAAAATCAACAGCTTATTTGAGTTCATAGCATTGAAAAGTATGCAATTAAGAAAGTATCAGGAATTTTTATTACCTTGAATTCCACTTGCTGCTACCACCAGAGCACCATCGAAAGTGGATTTGCCATCTTTATCTTTCTTAAGGGAATCTGGAACTAATTTGCTGCCATGCTTCTTCACACGTGGAGCCAGCTCCCTTCCGACACAGCTCGCTATAGAGCACACTCCCTCAACTAACATAAAACAGTATGCAGATTATTTAGTGAGAACACAGAACATCTTTCTTTCAGAGTCCTTACTCCTAATTAAAAGTAAGTTTCACTGAAGTTTTAAGTGTTGCTTCTACTTAAATATGCTTATTTGAAAGACTTTAATCCACACTTAAGTACCCAACTGACAGAGAAGCAACCTTGGTTTTCAGATTCTCCATAGCTTCAACTCCCAAGAAATAAGTAAGGTTGGTCTTATGGCTAAAAAGCACTTTAAAAGAAATACATACACATCATACACTCTGTTTCCATTGCTTTGTTACCCCCAGCTTGCAGACAGTGAACAAACTGTGTTTCTTTCCTGACTTGTATCCTGGATAAGTCTTTCTTACAATCATTTGAGCTCTTCAGAGTATTTTTATAACATCCAGCACAATTTGCTTTTAAACTTGGATGAGTCACTAGACACTAAATATAAACATTAATGCAAATAAATAACAGAATGAAGTTACTGAGAGCTACTAGAGTTACTGAGCACCTCTGAACACCAAGCCATTTCTGCCTGGAAGTTTATACATAATCTAATAGACTTGTTTCAGGTGTGTGTATTTAAAAATACACACACACACTCTAGCAGTACAATTTGTATGCTAGTAACCAGTGACAGTACAGCTTTTAATATACATGGTTATCAACTTAAGAAGAGATATCCCATTTTGAATTAACTGTCTATAACTTAGAAAAACATGCCAAACTTAAGGCTGTACAGAGTATTCTTTTAGGAGAGAAAAAGATGCCTCAAGGCCATATAATAACTATTAGTCCTGGGGCATGTCTCTTGCAGGAGATAGCTAGGCACAAACTACTGATCATTTGATTTCATCAGGTCAGTCCCTCCTCTAGCTCACTGGCTAGAGAAACGAGCTCTCATTTTACATATTTATTGTTTAAGGCAAAAATATAATATACTAGAAGACGGAAATTTTTACCCAAGAACTGGCTGACTTTCACAGCTCCTCCAGTAGCCTGTTTTGCTACATGGAGCCCCTTTGCTACAGCTGGGTTGACTTCCAGTGGTTTTTCTTCTGGTTGAATGTGTTCTCGCAGTTTAGAAGCTCCTTTGTGGATAGCTTTACCAGTATATTCTGCTCCTTTTATTAGGCCCCAGCTTACCCAAGATGCACCTTCAAGGCAAAAATTGTGTTTCTTAGAATGTACAATTTTACAGACTATGATTTCTACAGCTTTCCTTCCTCTGCCTCTGCAACACTGACTTACATTCCTGATTACACAGTCTGCAATTATACTCTTCCCTGGACAGGCATGAATTCCTGTAATGATTTCTGCTCATACACCACCCACGTTTTTTCAATTCAGTTTATTTAAGTTTAATACAGCCAGCCCTCATCCAAATGTCAGCTTAACACAAATACTCAGTTTTTTAATAGATATCCAAGCCCCGGCTGGGTCAGAAGTGATAGAACTGCACATCTCAATGCTATTAACATTCCGAAAATGTACAACCCAGGCCTCTAGCCCTCCTAGCAGATTCATATTTATTACAATTAGTTGGTGGTCATTAGTTTATTCCAAAGGTTCTCAGAGGAAAAAAAAAGAAAAATGTTTATCTGCAGAAATCACAATAGATGCCTGCTTTAATATAATGGATCATACAGGAGTAAAATTGTTCTGTCACAGTGGTTTCAATTCACAGGGCGTGATATCCTAACATATAGGCAAATGAGGAGCCTAACTCATTTGCAAGGAACAAGACTGTTGGCAATGGATTTAAAATCTGCACTGTTTTTATAAAGCCCACCAAAGTATCCTTTAGATTATTACAACTGGAACTGGTGAACAACTACTTCTGACCACTCAGCTTCTATCAGCACCCATGCATTTAGGTGAAAATACTGTTTTTAAGTATTACTCACAGAGGTTTACATTCAACACAGACCTCTTATTACAACAGTACCTGACAAGATTCCATGGGCAACTTTCTCACTCCATTCTGGTAATTCTTTCTGATTTTCTGCTCCTTCAGGTTGTGGTTGGATATGTACAGTCTGAGGCAAGTTAACTGCATCACTAGAGGCTTCTGAAGGCTAACAAGTGAAAATAAGCATCTGAGAATCCACTTCACAACGTATCATCAAGATTTCTGTTTTAATGGTTTAGATCATACAGATCCATTTTCAAATAATGCCAATGTTGTGTGTTCCTTGGGTAAGTGTACAGAAATTCAATGGACATCTGTGATTCAATTGCTTTTGCACAGAAACGCTATGCATACAAAAAAGCTGATCAGCTCAGCATTTTCTGTACACTTTCTTCAATCAGTTACAATGAAAAGATTTGCTTGCCAACACAGCCATACTGTCAAGTAGCTAAGTATGGAAAAGTTACAGTACAAGTTAACTAGCAAAAAATATAAGAGACTTGTCCATCCATCATTTTTATCTTCTCAGAGGGAAGTTAATTCTGTTGTTATTCAGTATGGGAACTGCAGTCTTTGGTCAGTGAATGCAGCTGCACTAAAAAAGTGCAGCTGTTCTGGTTGTTTTTCTCCTCATCCTTTCCTCCTAAATTAAAAAAAAATGAAGGAGATTATTCATTCTATGTGCTGTTGATACTTTTGCAAACTGGCACAGCCAAGGAACACATCAAGCTGTGCATGATACTGCTCTTCATTTAAATTTGGGTGGGTAGGATCTGCATGACTTCATGTCAAACACTAAAGTTTTTGGAGTAGGTGTCAATCATTCAAAGGTAGCAACCACCATCACAGTTTGCTTAGTGTTTCTAAGCAGCATAACATCTCTTTACACAGTTCATAGACAACGGATAATTAAACTTTAATTACAGAAAGCAAAAAAATGGTAATAGATTTAGGTTTTTGTTAAGATTCTATTTTTAGGACTTTTCCAACATAAAAGTAAAAATCCCCACATTCAGTGATTGAAAACACTGCTAGTTAATGATGGATAGAAAGAAAAAGTTTTTGTTTAATACAGAAGAGTCTAAATGAAAGCATTCATAGATGAAACCTACGATCAAAATAGAATACACAACACAGAATAATATTTGATGTTACATGTAATTCTTAGATTCCCCCAAAATATTTACTGGAAATAAAAGCAGGGTAGTGCACAAAGACGACTGCTGCAATAAAACAAAACAAAACCAACAACAGCAGAAAAGACCAGATTAAGATGTAGAAGGTTGCTACCCAGAAGGTTAACAATGTATCACTGACATGTATTCCATCATCAATTACTGCTTGCCAGCAGTGTGAAATCTCATGTTCAGGAAATGTCTTTAGATGTGACCAAAACACTTTGGGGGCTGGGCAGGAGAAATAACCTTAATTCACAGTTATAGTTAAAAAACAAACAAGCAAACAAAATTTTTAAAAACCCACTATGTTCCAGATATAATTTAGTTACACTACAGTTTGGGTCACTATGTAGAAAAACAAGACTTCTAAGAACTATACTACGAAGCAGAAATGGATTCTCTTAAAAGGACAAGTGATTCAATATTATAATTGCATTAAATATAGTTGTTCATTAGATCCTCATGACAACTATATAAGAGACATATTAAATGGTCGTCAGACTAAGCTGTGAAATATTCATGCTATATCACAGGTTTTTAACTCAAAAAACCTGCTGAGTTGCAAATTGTGGTAGCCTGCAATAACTGAATCAGCTCTTAAAAAAACAAACCAAACAAACAAAAAACTCAACCAAAAAAACCCCACAGGGCACAGCATACATTACTGCTGTCAATCAAGTCTGCAATCTCAGCAGTTCTAACATGTATTTCAGTGACCTTTTTTTTTTTGTAACTATAAAATTTTGGAATCACTGTCCTGGAATTTACCTGGACTTTGTAGCCAGACATCTGTTTAATTTTATCTTCAAAATGCGCTCTCTTAGTTGCTGGGAGCTCTGAAGATAACCCTACTCTCTCATGGGATCCTGGCACCTGCGACGTCGTATCAGGGAACATTAACAAAAACACGGAATTTTATGACAATAATGAACTAATGAGATAACAAATTTGAACTACTTCTATGCAGGAAGGATGACAGAATTTTATCCACTAAGTCCTGCACTGAAACATCACATAATTCTGTAGTACTTTTCATTTTTAAGTAAAAAATAGCAGCCTCCAGTGCTAGTGAGATTCCCTGCTGAGCTGAACAGGATTTATACCATAACAGAACTCTGCCCACACGGCATGCGGCGAACTGGTCCTTCGTCATCACTGCATCCAAGTCTTGGCGATTCTATCCTTCATGGAAAGACAGAATCTTGCTATAAGCTTTTAAGTAGTTACTGATTACCATTCCTCCTGAAATGGTGCTCCAGTGCTCTTACAGTAACATTTTTCACCTTGTTCCCAGTCACTGTATCTTACCACACCTTTGTTAGACGATGGGGTTGTGTTTTTATTTTCTCTATCAGTTCGTATCTTACCATAGCAAGGCACCAGTTTTATCTATTTTGAGATCCCATTTGAAGGCAGATTTTTGAGGCACAAACTATTTTCACAGGTCTTCTATGACGCAGCTTAACATTTCTGAACTGTAAATACATTTGGGCACAACATTCCAAAAATGGTATCACCAAAACCCCACAGAGAGCGTGTGCACACACACAGGAAAAAAAAATATGCTCTCTCCTGAACACAAAATTTCATTTTGGGTTCTATTTTATCTTTTGGAAAAACAGAGAAAATAAACAAAACAGTCTCCAACTCCTCTCTATGCTTACAATTTAATATTTTAATATTTCTGTCCTCCCATCTCACAGAGCCTACAGTTTCATTACTGGGGTGCTTAATCTTGGCTACTTTATTTCTCACTCATGAGCTTACCAAGCAAGACACAGAACTTTGCAGTTTCACACAACTAAATGTAAATGGGAGAATGTATTGATCATTTCCACCTTACTGGCTTAAAAAAGGCAGCCTAGGAATTTACCTGGATTCGAAGGTCAGACATCTGTTTTAAGAGATCCTCAAAGAGCTCTCTGTCAGCTGCTGGAAGTTCTGAGGACAGCACTACTCCCACGTAGGACCCTGGTATCTGGGACATCGTGTCAGGGAACATGTAGACTCCAGTATTGCAGCACAGAACAGGAGACTGGTTACGCATTAGAGGATACAACCAGTCACAAACCTAGAAAATGCAGGTATATAAAGGAATTAAAGGACCCTTTTGAAAAGAAAGGTAGGCAGAACATACTGATAAACACCACAAACTTGCTTTTCCATAAAGCTGAGAAAAAGAAAAAAGCCTTACACCATCCTGGAAAAAAAAATAAAAGGGAGAGGGGACAGGATGGACACTCTAAAACAAAAGAACTACATGACTGTGGAAATATCATTCTTTATTCGTTCTGACAGTCTAATACAGAGAAAATACTGATTTTCACAGGACTGTAATTCAGGCTGGTAGCCTTTTAACTGAGGTCTAGTCTTGAGGCCCAGGTAAGGAAGCAGATGAAAAGCACTGCCAAACAAGTCAGGATTCACACCTGTAGCTTCCTGGAGATCTCAGGACAGGTTTATAAGACAGGACAAAGAGAACGTATGGCTGTTGCTGGCTGACTGCTGAAGACTGCTAATACAGGTGGAGGTGAACCAGCAGACCCAAAATCAGGAAACAGTTTTAATTCGTTCCTCCAAGTTTCCCCTTCATTGATGAGACTTCCAACAGCAAATGTTAGCAGCAACAAGGAGATCCACCAGACATGAAACACAATGTACATTACAGAACATGCCCACAGGAAGCAAGCATGGACTGAAAAAATCCAAATAATGCATCTTTTTTATTTTAATTCAAAGTCTGGATTAACATGGGCCCTCAAATTCCAAATTATCAATTGTCCTAACTGCAACACCTTTTAACTAGTTGAGACTGAAGGGAACAGCCTGCAACTCCATTTTACACTGACATGTTACAACACATGAATCAACATGTTTTCTCTATGTGTGGAAAGCAAAGTTAATTTTATTAAATGAAAAGACCTGTTAAGTCAACTCCTTTAGAAAACTGAATTCACCAGAACAGCCAGCACTCAACCTTGTGAAGAAACAGAGGTGGCTTTCACAGAAAAAGTCATAAAAGTGTGTATTTGCAGAAAGCCGTTTTTCCAAAGAACTATAACATTCTTCGTAATATCATCACAGAATCACAGAATGTCAGGGATT